GGGAGGTGGTGGAATCTCCTTCCTTAGATGTTTTTAGGTCAGGTTTGATAAAGCCCTGGCTGGGATGATTTAGTTGGGGATTGGTCCTGCTTTGAGCAGGGAGTTGGACTAGATGACCTCCTGAGGTACCTTCCAACCCTGATATTCTATGATTCTATATCCTCAGATAAGCAGTGGCTCTCCTCTACAACAGGGAGGTGCAGCTGGCTGGGGATTTGCCATCTCCTAGAGGTTAATTAGGTTAAAGTTCTGATGTCCTAGATGAAGAAAGGGGAGGTTCTGCTAGGAGGCTCTTGTAGCTGAATGGAATCCAGGCTCCTCTCACAAGGGAATCTGTGCAAGCCTTGTGTTTACTCCTCGTCAGAGTCACTTGGTTGCCACAGTGATGGGCAACCTGATAAACACCTAACTAGCTAACTAGAGCATGGACTCGACTGTCCCAAAAGAGCCTCCGTTTGCCATCTCTGTCTGTCACAGAGCTCTCTGAGGACTGCGAGTGTCGGAACGGGGGGAAGTGTCTGGATGGAAACTTCACCATTTGCCAGTGTCCGCCTGGATATTTTGGACTCCTCTGTGAATTTGGTAAAAGCAAAGATCTCCCAGTTTATCAAACTCTCACATTTCCTTCCTTTCCCCTTTCTTTTATAATTGAAAATAGAGAGAGAAGCTAGCACCCACAGCCATTGCTGGTGCTAGCCCTCAGAGACTATTCGCTATCACAGACATCTGCTGTTCCACCAATCAGCCTCTGCACTGCTCTAGAGCCAAAGGGAGGCTACATGCCCAGGTCCTCCCCGTCCTACTCTTCTCCACCGGAGCCCCCTACTCAGCATCATTTGCTCTGGGGCAAAGGAGAATGGACTATTTCCATTTGTTCAGTCCTTAGCTCCACACCCTGCAGCCCGTGGACCCTCCCTAACTTGGCTGCTCTCTCCTGGAGGAGAGGGAGGTTTGGGGTTTCATACACATTCGCTCCTGAGCTCTCCACACCGACCCAAATAAAGCTGCAATGGCCCCTCCTTGGCAGGAGGGATGGAGGGTTTCAGACAGGGTCACTTCCCCCTCCAGCTCCTCCTTAGCAAAAAAAGAGGAAAACATCTCTGTAGAATGCCCTTCCCAGGCCCTGAGCTGACTGACCTATGGCTGGCACAAGGAGGGGGGTGTCACTCACTGGACGCTGACCTCTGGCTAGCACACCACGGGGGGGTCACTCACTGGTCACTGGCTTCTGGCTGGCACACTGTGGGTCACTGACCAGACGTTGGCCTCTGGCTGGCACACTGGGGGGGTCACTCACAGGACACTGGCTATTGTTGCTGTTCTCACAGAAGTGACTACTACACCTTGCAATATGAACACACAATGTCCGGACGGGGGCTACTGCATGGAGTATGGTGGAAGCTACCTGTGCGTGTGTCATACGGACTATGGCACCAACCACTGTGAGTCTGGCCGGGTCTGGGCACAGGGAGGGGCTGGGGTCAATGGAAAGGGTGCGGTGTGACCTGGGTGGGGCAGGCACTTGTAGTGTGGCTGAGGGGATCCGAGCTGCAGTGCTGGGGTGGTGGGGGTTGTCAGCAGTGCCTACAGTGATAGAGGAGCAGCGGAGGAGGGGAGGGGCGGCGGGAGAGGGGGTGTCAATGGAGGAGGTCAGGCATTTGTGACATGGCTTGGTGAGCTACTACAGCACAAGGCAGGGGCAGGGAGCACATCAAGGGGATGAGCCGTGCCGGTAGGACGGGACGGGATACCAGGGAGCCACACTCCTAGCAGTTCCTGTAGGGAGTAGATCTCCCCCGCCCCACTCGTTCAGGGGTGTCAGAGACCCTCTTCCTCCCTCGTGTCCCCCAGGTGGTGTCCCCAAAGTGGTGCTGATGACAACACCTAGTTCCTATCTGGACATTGTGGGTCAGCTCTTGGTCCCGATTGCACAGCTGGGCAGAGCAAGGTGCCAAGTCCTGCAGAGAGGGCCTGACCACAGTTCAATGGGGAGAGTCTCATGGGCTCTGGGTGATTCGCCGTGTGGGACCCAGTCACGCCACTGCAGGAATGCTGGAAGCTCGCCCTAATCCTAGCAGCCCTGTGAATGGCTAGAGCGCAAACGCTAGTGGCCCACAGCAGGGTGACGGCCACTACAAACCCTGCAATGATACAGCCAGGGAGGAATGCCAGGGAGCCAGCCAGCCCTGCCACAAGGAAGGAGCAGACTAGATGCACCTGTGGGGTTTTGCCACTCAGACCTGTTCTGCCTGGTAGGACTTGTATTGACCAGGTTAACTGTGTGGTCCCATCTGTGATTTTTCAGCTGTGCCATCTCCCTGCGACTCAGAGCCCTGCCTGAACGGGGGGTCCTGCGAAGCCCATGATGACTCATACACCTGCGAATGTCCCCGGGGCTTCAACGGCAGGCACTGTGAGAAAGGTACTCCTGAGGCATGGGCTGGAGAGATGAGGCGGGGGGGCCCCTCGGCGTGTCCCACCCGCCATGCACTCTGGTTAGTCTGTGTTCAGGAGACTCAGCCCCATGCAGAGTAGCAGCACAGGTGCAGGAAACAGCTGCATCCAGCCTTCCAGCTCCCGTTTCTGTCACTGTGTTGGGTAGCTCGGTCGAACCGGGGAATGGTCACCTACAAAGAGTTCCGGCTACAGCCAAGAGATTGGAGCAAAATCCAAGCCCCCTAAGGCAGACGAGCAGCCTAGAGATCCTTCAGCTGTAAGAGTCAGTGCAATATCTGCTGGCTCTTCACAGTGGGGAAACGCCACTCCTGGCTATGGGGGCAGGGGAAGGTGAGAGATCGGGGCAGAACTAATAGTCTTGGGCTCTAGGAAACCCCTGAGGAACAGAGATGCTAAGAGGGGCAGTGAAATCAGAATGGCGCTTTGGCCTGTTCAGGTCTCTTCCCTTCAGGACATCTCTTGGGACAGTCTGGCTCCCCAAGCGCTGAGCAGATTCTGTAGCTCATTTCAGAAAGGAGTGAAAGATGCACCAGTGGGTCCGACCCTGCTTGCATACCCCTCCGCCATGGCAGCTTCGGTCTCAGGAAGCACAGGTGGCTCTTCCAAAGTTATCGGCTTTCAATGGTTAATCAGCTCTGGTATCTGAAGCTGTGCATGGCTCATGTGCTATGCAATCCAGCCAAGCAGCCTTTGCCTCATTGGGGAGCAGTGGGTGACTTACCCAGTTCACGCGATAGACAGGTGGTAGCATTGCTGTGCAGGGCAGATATACATGGGAGTCGCTGCAGCTGCTTCTGACGTAGAGCACAAGCTGTGTCAAGGCACACAGCGACTCTGTGGAACAGTTTAGGGCAAGAGTGGATGTGCTGATTTGCCAACACTTTCAAACTTAGGCGGGGCCTAAAGTCAGGCTCTTAAATCCATATTTAGGCTCCTATGTTTAAGTGGCCTGTGTTTCCACGGTGCTGAACTCCTACCTGCAGCACCATTGGCTTTGGTGGGGCTGTGTCATTGACAATCGGGCCAATCAGGTGCCTGACTGGATTTCTCTAAACCTGACTTTGCACCCCCAGATAGGAGATTGTGGCTGTTTCTGAGCAGCTGGAGAATGTAGCCCACGGTGGCCCAGACAGGAGGGGGTGGCTGAGGTGTGGAAGAAGCAGCCAGCCCATGAAAGGGGATGAATCGAAGCCATCCGCACTCCTGTTGACGAAAGCACAAGGGGTGATGCTTTCCCACACGTGGCTCCTCTGCCTGTGTTCTCTTTCCTCAGTCAGGCCAAGGCTCTGCAGCTCCGCGCCATGTCGGAACGGGGGGACATGTAAGGAGGCAGACGGAGAATACCACTGTGCCTGCCCCTACCGATTCACCGGGAAGCACTGCGAGATAGGTACCCACAATGCTGAGCACTAGTGAGGGGAGAGCTGGGAAGGCATTGGCTGCTGCTTAACATGGCTCTCTTTGTGCCCACAGGTAAACCAGACTCCTGTGCCTCTGGGCCATGTCAGAACGGGGGCACATGTTTCCACTACATCGGCAAGTACAAGTGTGACTGTTCCCCAGGCTACACGGGCCGGCACTGTGAGATAGGTACGAGTGTGGCAGACTGGCAAGGAGGAGAAACTAGGGGTCTGGTGCCAATGCTCAGCTCAGAGCCACTGGCCAGAGACCCAAGGTCTGTTGTTCAGTGCTTGGCTACTAGGCTGGCAATCAGCGGGCTTGGAGTCATTCACAGGCTCTACACATTAACCAGGGGAGCATCCTCAGCTGGGGAAGCCACAGTCAGGCAGTTTGGGGTACTGGGTGCCATTGCCCAGTCAATGGTGTCTCTGGTCATTTAGCAGAGTGCGTGCATTCAACCCCTGATTGCTGGAGCACAGCAAGCAGAGATCTGTGCTCAGTCTGTAGCAGTATCCACAGAGACTGAGTTCAATGGCTGGTTAGTGTAATCACTGCCCAGTGAGTCCAGCACCCATCCAATCGTAACCCAACTTTCTCCATGGGCTGGTCAATTCTCTGAGAGCTGAGCAGGCTGGTGCTGGTTTGTTAGTGGGGTTCGAGGGCAATTGATTTAATGCTCCTGGGAGCTCATCCCTACATCCCCATGGTCTGGCAGCGTATCCAGGTAGCACTGTAGATGTGGCATGGAGAGGGAGGAAGGGCTCCAGGCAGTGTGTCCATAGCCATTTGTGATACTCTTTTCCAGCCCCTTCTCCTTGCTTCCTGAGTCCGTGTGAAAACGGAGCCACCTGCGAGGACCATGGCAGCAACTACACCTGTACATGCCCTGCGGGATACGTGGGAAAGCTCTGCCAGTCAGGTAATAGCCAAGCCAATAGCTCAGCACCAGGAGCAGCCCAGAGAACTAACCCTGCTCTTGAGCAAGGCCAGCTTAGAGCACTTCCCAAGCCTGCCCATCGACAAGGAGAGAGTCCTGAACATCAGCCCTCTGGTGTTAGACCGCCCAGCATGGTTCCATCATCCTGGCTGAATGAAGGGGGGCGGGGCAGGGGGTGTTTTGCTGGAGGAAGAATGGAAGTTGGAAGACGCGGCTTCTGTTTGCAGTTCTGCACAAATCCCCAGGCAATCTCAGGCAGTCCTTTAACTTGGCAGTGGAGTTCCTCTGAACCAACACCTGCATAACAAGCAGCAGTTTGGCCCAGACTTCATACTAAAGGTGCCATCTTCTTAAAGAAGAAAACTTCTCAAAACAAAGGGATCATGGAAGGGAAAGGCCCTGTGAAGAAGCGTCTCAGGAAGATCTCATGTTGGTCTCAGCCCTGTTGACACTGTAACTTCAGCCCTAGAAAGGCTGTTCTGTGTATCCCCAATATATAGGTCCTTCACTGTGGCACAGCTCCCCCTCTCCCAGATCATTTATGGCCTGGTGCAATGGGATCATGTACTGAGTAGTTTCCTCCCTGCAAGCAATGTCTTTGGCACCCATCGGAGGTGCTGGCAGAGGGTGGGAACCAAGGCCACTGGTGCTGTTCCTGGATCCCCACAACCCTACCAACAGCGGTAGGTGATTAGGAGCACTAGTGAAGGTGCGTGAGTTCCTAATGCCTGCTGCTGGGCTTTCCCATGCCTCCTCCCCGCCGCCCCCACTTGCCTTGGCATATTTCAGGGCAAGGGCATGGTGCCAATGTCAATGTGACGGGTTGGATCACAGAAACCCCCTTGGGAACTGCCACCTAATGTGCCGGGACTACCTCTGAGCCCATTTTCCCTGCCAGCTTGGGACTTCGTACCTTGCCTTCTTTGAGCCAGACACACTTGCCTGCTGCAAACACAGATCCAAGTCTGAACCACGTCCCCCACAAGCTGCAGGCTTAACTGAAAACAGCTTAAGAAGTGCTCTTGTCTCCAACACTCAGATACCCAGCTCCTAATGGAGTCCAAAACCCCAAATAAATGCGTTTTACCCTGTATAAGCTTTACTTATAACTCATAAACTGTTTGCCCTCTATAACACTGATAGAGAGATATGCACAGCTGTTTGCCCTCCCCCCGCCCAGGTATTACTACTTACTCTGGGTTAATTAATAAGTAAAAAGTGATTTTATTAAATATAAAAAGTAGGATTTAAGTGGTTTCAAGTAAAGACAGACAGAACAAAGTAAATTACTAAACAAAATAAAATAAAACACACAAGTCTAAGCCTAATACAGTAGGAAGCTAAATGCAGGCAAGTCTCACTCTCAAAGATGTTCCAATACGCTTCTTTGACAGACTAGCCTCCTTCTAATCTGGGTCGAGCAATTACTCACACCCCTGTAGTTACTGTCCTTTGTTCCAGTTTCTTTCAGGCATCTCTTTGGGTTGGAGAGGCTATCTCTTGAGCCAGCTGAAGACAAAATGGAGGGGTTTTCCCAGGGGCATATATAGTCTCTCTCTTGTGGGTGGAAACCCCTCTCCCCCCCTCTGTAGAATCCAGCTACAAAATGGAGTTTTGGAGTCACATGGGCAAGTCACATGTCTATGCATGATTCAGTTCTTACAGGCTGATGCCATGGTTCACATGTTAGCCCGAACATTCCCAGCAAAGCTCAGATGTGGATTGGCGTCTATCAAAGCCCATTGTCAACTTAAGTGTTTCTTGATTGGGCACTTACTGAGAACAGTCTTTTCTCAAGAAGCTGACCAAATGCTTCACTGAGGCTACTTAAAATTAAACAAGTACATAGCCAATATTCATAACTTTGAATACAAAAATGATACATGCATACAAATAGGATGAATATATTCAGTAGATCATAACCTTTGCAGGGATATGTTACACGGCTTATCTAGTATAAAACATATTCCAGTTATGTATATTTACACTCATAAGCATATTTCTATAAAGCATTATGGGGTGCAACGTCACAGTCAACTCCTTTAAGAGGATGCTGTAAAAATGCCCTGGGTTGCAGCCCCAGCCTTGGGGTCTGCAGGGTTGTCTCCAGGCTCAAGCTGCTCTCTGAGGCCAGTTCTCAGGCATGGCAGGGTTCGCTTCCCCAAGCAGAGCCAAGGTTCTGTGGGCTGGAGCTGGAGAGCTCTCTGGAGCTCACAAGCACAGCCCTGGACGGCAGAGCCATCATGCTTTCTGGACTTGGCCCAACTTGCCGCCTCTTGAAGAGACAGGGAGCGACTGCTTCTTAGATGCCCGGGTTCCAGCATTGGCTCAGGGACGCCCGCTGTTCACATGCCTTGTCATTCATGCCTCTCCTCTTTCCCCAGAGGTGGACTGCGGCATTCCCAACGAGGTGAAGCATGCCCGCGTGCTGTTTAACTCCACCCGCATGGGCTCTCTGGCTGAATACCTGTGTGAGCGAGGCTACATCTTGCGCCCTCAGAACAACCCCCGCATCTGTAGAGCACAGGGCGTCTGGAGCGACCCCCCGGAGTGTGATGGTAAGTTGGTGCAATGAGGAAAGGGGCCTACACAGCCTGAGCTATTCTGCCAGAATGGCTGCTTCTTGGGGCCTAGCTGGGCCTGGAGCCCCCTTAGCAGCCATGGGATGTGGCCATTTCTCTTGTGGCACAGCCTGTGTGGTGCCCCTGGGGATGCTCCGGAACACCCCTCCCTGGCTAGACCAGACTCTTTTCAGCCTGTGCTAAGATACCTAGGGCCCCATACCCCCTTGGAGGCACACAACTCCTGGGGGGACATAGGGTCTGGATGCGGACTTCATGCTGTCCTTGAGCCCTCTGCCCGATGCACATCTCTGCTTGGCAGCCACACTTCTGGGACGTGCAGTACCTGCAAAGGACATGCAGCCGCTGGGAAAGGAGAGATTGAGCCACTATTCTGTGTGGTACCAGGGAGCGAGAGAGGAGCAACATTGTGGGGGCAGATTGGGATCAGCAGAGAGCAAGTGGCTGCAGCACGGGAGACAGAGGATAGTGCTGACAAGGTGTCAATCAGAGCTTCCAGAGGAGAGAGAGAACGGGCCTCCTGGCAGGAGCGCAGCCCTGGAGGATGGAATGTCACTCCAGACCGATGGCTGGTTCAATGTCACTAGCCACACTCCCCTGGGAACCACCTCCCTAGCCTACTCCTGGGCTGGCTAGCTGGTGTCTCTGCGGCTGACATGCGTGCTAGGCAGCACTGCGCTTTACCCTCTGCTTTGTCTCTGAGCTATGGCTGACTTGGCCCTATCCTAGCTGCCATCCACGTCCATAACTGTCGCTACAATCCCTTAGTGATCCTGGTGAGGTCCTCAGCCACGTGTCCTGCTCCATTTGTGAGTTGTCCTCCCAATTTCATCCAAGAGACAATAGACCAAATTGCCTTCCCTGTGCCCATCCCACAACTCTCTCCTTCTTCTCCCCTTCCCTTGGCCCAGTGACTCCATCCCATCTCCTGATCTCCCTGTGCCCACTCTTATCCCCGCTCTCACTCTGCTCCGGAACCTCTCCCCACCTGGCTCTTCCACTCACAAAACAAACATGCTTTAGCCTCTCCCAAAGCTACCTTCCTATCTCCCTTATCTCTTCCACCTCTAAGCTCATTGAATGTGCTGACTACAATGGCTGTCTGGAGTTCCTCCTCTCCAATACCATCTAGCCCTCTACTCCAGGCCTGTCTCTGTCTGTCCAAGCTAAAATCTCAGCCTGTCTCTATGACATCTCGGCATGGGTGTCCAGCCGTCAGCTCAAACTCAACATGGCTAAAACAGAGTTCTTAATTTTTTCCCCTCCCAAACCCTCCCCATCACCTCCTTTCTCAGTCACTGTGGACAACACCATCATCCTGCCTGTCCTTCAGGCCTGTAACCTGGGCATCCTCTTCAACTCAGCTTGGATGTGAGTGTGACAGGTTTCCCCCAGGGTGCCACCTGGAACTGGGGTACCACTGAGCCCTCTGACCCACCAGCCTGGGCTCCCTCTCACACTTAGCTGCTGTGACAAGCTGCAAAGCCCTCCAGCCTGCACTTTTACCAGCACTCACACAGGTAGGGACACACCCAGCTGCAGTTACATGCAGGCTCTCGAACCACCAGCTTCCCAGCCTAGGACCACAGAGCAGTACCATCCTGCTCTGGTCAAATCTGGCCAGTATATGGGTTTAATGCCCAGTCTGCCTCTCCCTCAATGTGAAGAGGACAATGCACACTTGTGGTAACTGTGACGGGTTGAATCACAGAAACCCACTTGGGAGCTTCCACCTGATGTGCCCAGACTACTTCTACCCCTGCTTTTCCTGCCAGCTCGGGACCCCAGACCCCTGTCTTGCTGAGCCAGACACTCCCGTCTGCTCCAACAAAGACCCAGGGTCTGAATTACTTGCCCCAAAGCTGCAGGTTTACCTGAAAGCAGCTAACAGAAGTGTTCCTGTGTTTAACACTCAGATGCTCAACTCCCAGTGGGGTCTAAACTCCAAATAAATCCATTTTACCCTGTATAAAGCTTAAATAAATTGTTCGCCCTCTATAACACTGATAGAGAGATATGCACAGTTGTTTGTACAGTCATGGCAGCCATCACTCACTGGCTGTCTGTAGTGTTCTCAGGAAAGCTCACCGGGTGGGAAATAAGCTTCTCCTGAGGCTATTGTTTTATCTAATGGCCCATTACTATGAATAGGTCCTTTACAACCAGCTATTTAGACTGAAAGCGTCTTGTCTAGGGGCTGTTACCCAGGTGTAACTACATTTGACGTATAGATACATAGTGAGTATTTATAACTTCAGATACAAAAATGATACATGCATACAAATAGGATAATCATATTCAGCAAATCATAACATTTCCAATGACATCTCACATAACCTGTCTTGCATAAAATGCATTATAATTACACTATAACCATATCATAACAATGTCACTATGAAGACTATGGTGTGCAGTGTCACAGTGAGGACCTAGAGAGAAGTCTAAATCTTCCTGATTCTCTCTGCATAACCCCTAAGGAACAGCCCTTCCTATCCCTCCACACAACTAAAGCTCTCATTGACTCACGCCCGAGTTACTGCAACATCCTTTCACGAGTGGAGTCCTGCCCCGCTCATGTCTATTCAGACTGTTGCTGCAAAGATTGTTCTCCTAGCCCAGCCTTTGTCCATGTCATGCCTCTCTTTGCATCCCTCCCCTGGCTCCCCCTTCTCTAGTGCATCGAACATGAGCTACTTCTCTTCACTTCAAAGGCCCTCACAGCCTATCACCAGCCTGTGCATCATCTCTCATTCACTACCGAGTGGTCGACTCCCACCGCTGATGGGTCCACAAGGCCAACCTTCACTGCCACCGGTTATGTTTTCAAACTAGTCCCATGGGGCTGTCTCCCTCCCAGGCTGCCCCTAGCCTAGCCACTAGCAAGTGTTTTGTTAGGTTCACAGCAGACGAGTGTTTTGAGGAGGACTCTGAAGGGGACGAAGATGGAATGCGTCGCACGTTTATAAGGCGCTTGTCCCATGGCTGGGGCTCTTAGGGACTACTGTAATGCTCCTAATAAACAATGTACGGCACCTGGTGCAATGGGGTCCTGGGCCATGACTGGGGCTCCTACATGCTACCGTAATACATCTAATAAATAATGTGCAGTACTTGGTGCATGTCTGGGGCTCTTAGGGACTACTGTAATACACCTAATAAATAATGTATGGCACCTGGTGCAATGGGATCCTAAGCCATGACTGGGACTCCTCGGTGCTACCATAATACACCTAATAAATAATGTGCAGTACTTTATGCAATGGGGCACGGGCAATGGCTGGGGCTCGTAGAGACTACCGTAATATGAGGGGTTTGGTGCTCCAGGGCTATGGTGGGGAGAGAGGTCTCCCTCCAGCTCTCTCTCCCCACCACAGCACCTGAGCTGTGGGGGATAGGCGCCTCTCCCCACCATGGCAGATCCGGGGCTGGGGCTGCAGGATAGACGCCTCTCCGTGGCAGATCCGGGCCAGGGCTGGGTTCGGACCAAGGGAGGGGCACCACTGGCTGCAGCTGGGTTCGGGCCACCCCGGTCGCAGCAGAGTTGATGCTGGGGGAAGGGCGACCCAGCCACAGCAGGTCTGGGGCTGGGGCTGCAGGATAGGTGCCCCTCCCCCATCCCCAGCAGGTCTGGGCTGGGGCCGAGTTTTGGGCCGGGGGAAGGGCGCCGCAACAGGTCCGGGCCAGGGCTGGGATTGGGCCAGGGGAGGGGCACCCCAGCTATGGCAGGTCCAGGCCATGGCATAGTTGGGGCTGGGCGAGGGATGCCCTGGACTGCGGCAGTATTGGGGGTGGAGGAGGGGTGCCCCATCCACAGCAGGTCTGGGCCATGGCAGTATTGGGGCCAAGGGAGGGTGCCCCAGCCATGGCAGGTGTGGGCCAGACTGCCCCGCCCCTGGCCGTGGCATGTTGGGGGACAGGCTAGGTTGGGGCCGGGGGAGTGACACCTCTCCCGCATTCGCAGCAAGTTCCTAGGTGCGTTCCTTGAGCACCTGTGCGGTGCTTGATAGGCTGCTGCATGGCCATGCAGTTTACAGGGATCTTAGGTCCTAGGCCAAGACTAGGGCTCCTAGATGCTACAGTAATACACCTAATAAATAATGTACAGCACCTGGCACAATGAGGTCTTGAGCCATGACTGGGGCTCCTACACGCTACAGTAATTCACTTAATAAATAATAATGGTGCACAGGTAGGGAGGCTCCACTCACCCACTCCCCACTGTAGGCCCAGGCAGGTCTCTGGGAGGCCATCAACATGGGCTATGCTTGCTCCTTTAGGCATGGTTAGCAGTGCAGCATACTTCACTGAATGCACCTCTGTGTGGGATGGGACAGTCATGGCCATGGGAGACGGTGTGGCTTGGATATTTCACTGACTATAATCCCTTCTCTCCCCACCCCCATGCTTCCTTCCCCAGAAATTAACGAGTGCATTTCTCAGCCCTGTTTCAACAGGGGTTTGTGCAAGGATCGTATTGCTGAGTTCCTGTGCCTGTGTGAAGCAGGATACACAGGCCCCCACTGTGAGTTGGGTAAGAGAATGTGAAAAATACACTTACGGGGACCCCATCCAATGGTAAGCAAGGCAGGAAGATACCTCTGCCTGGATTGGCCCTCAAAGCTGCTGCAGAAATGGCCTGGGAGGGAGGTGTTACCCGGGGATGGCCTTGCCCAGCAGCCCATCTGGAAAGCATCACAGCCAGGGCAGCCAAAGGCCAGTGAGGCAGCTCCAAGATCCATACCACTGGTGCCGTTCCTTAGAGTCATACGCTCCTTAGAGTCATACCCTTAGAGTCATGCGAGCGCTGCAGCACTCATTCAGCATACGGCCCTGCTAGCAGCTGGGGCAGAAAGAGTTCCGAGGTGCTTATCATGGATCTGTACCTTACGGGGGGATGAACATCCATGCCACCGCGCATGTGTGTGATCAGTCTCCTAGAGCTATAGAGGAGAATGTGGTTGAGTTTTTCAATGCAGCCTAATGGATTTAGATTCACAGTCCCCTTTAGGTCTGTATGTGTTGGGGATATAAACAGCCACACGTACCCTGCACCCTCTTATTCTCTTTATTGGAGCTGATTGGCACTTTTTTTTTTTTTGGAGGTGATTGTCGTTTTTTTTTTTTTTTTTTAGAAATGATTCATTTTAAT